CAGCACTCCCCCTTTGGAGGGTCCTGCTGATCTGCCGCCAGAGGCCGCTCAGCAGCTCGGAGCGGTCGGCGTCGTCTAAACCGGCTCCCTTTTTCCACCTCCTCCTCCTCCCTCCTCTTTCCATCCTCCTCCCTCCTCTCGCCTCCCTTTTCCACCTCCTCCTCCTCTTCCTCCTCCTCCTCCGCCTCCCCCTCCTTCTTCCCGCTCCCCCACCCTCCCGCCCTCTCCCCCTCTCTCCCCGCCGCCCTCCCCCCCCTCCCTCCCTCAACCCTCCCGCCTCCTCCTTCCTGTTCCTTGACTGTACCCGGACAGAACACCTGGGCGACACAACCCGAAGGTAGGTACCCAAGATGCCTGCGTGAACTCACATGCAGTCGGACCTCGCAACATGAACGGCGGCACAGAAACGCCCAGGCGTCACATCTGTGCCGCCGTTGCGAGGCGCCTCGGGACGCCACCCCGAAACACGGCCACCGGCACCACCCCCGCTTGGCCGCATGCCTCAAGCAGCGGGGACCCCGCTGCCCAAGGACTTAAGTTCCCGCACCCCCCACGTCGGGGGACCCCTTCGAGTAACCCCATCGGGCCTGTCAAGGGTGGACCGACGGGCCCGCACCTACCCTGGCTGGCCAACCACAGGGCGAAACTCTCACCCACAGCCCCGTCGAGCTGTGGTGACGATCGGGCTGCCAACCCGCCTGTTATCCTGGCGTCCCCTCCTCCCTCCCCCTCCCCCCTCTTCCGTCCTCATCCCACGTCCTCCCTCCTCCTCCCTCCTTCATCCATCCTCCTCCCTCCTGACGCCTCCCTCATCCTCCACCTCCTCCTCCCCCTCCTCCTCCTCCTCCTCCTCCTGTTCCTGTTCCTCCTCCTTTTCCTCCTCTTCCTCCTCCTCCTCCTCCTCCTCCTCCTCCTCCTCCTCCTCCTCCTCCTCCGCCTCCTTCTCCGACCCTCCCTCCCTCACTCCCTCCTGCCCGCCCTCTCTCCCTCCCTCCCTCCATCCTTTTCTCCCACCGTCCCTCTTCCATCAACCCTCCTCCCTGCTCCTTCCTCCCCCTCCTCCTCCCTCCTCCTCCTCCTCCTCCTCCCTCCTCCTCCTCCTCCTCTCTCCTCCTCCTCCTCCCTCCTCCTCCCTCTCACCCCCTTTTTTTCTTTCTCCCTCCTGCTCCCTCCCTCCTCCTTCCTCCTCCTCCTCCCGCCTCCTCCCTCCCCCCTCCTCCTTCCATTTTCCTCCCTCCTCTCTCCTCCCTCCTCTCCTTTTTCCTCCTCCTCCTCCTCCTCCTCCTCCTCCTCCTCCTCCTCCTCCTTCTCCTCCTCCTCCTGCTCTCCCGCCTGCCTCCCCTCCCCCCCCCGCCCTCCCGCCTTCCGCCCTCCCTCCTCCAGCCCTCCCGCCATCTCTCTCCCTCCCTCCCTCCCTCCCTTCCCTTCCTCCTTCCTCCCTCCTCCCTCCCCCCTCCATCCTCCCTCCTCCCCTCTCCGTCTTTCTCCTCCCCCCCTCCTCATCCCCCCTCCCTCCGCCTCCCCCCTCCTCTTTCCTCCTCCTCCTCCTCCCTCCTTCTCTCTTCTCCCTCCTCCTCCTCTTCCTCCCCCTCTTCCTCTTCCTCCTCCTCCTCCTCCTCCTCCTCCTCCTCCTCCTTCTCCTCCCTCATCCCCCCCCATCCGGCCTCCTCCCTCCTCCTCCTCCCTCCTTTCCCTCCTCCTCCGTTTCCCTCCCTCTCCTCATCCGTCCGTCCCCCTCCTTTTCCCTCCCCCCCTTCTCTTCTCCCCTCCTCCCTCCTCCTGCTCCTCCTGTGCTCCTCCTCCTCCCGCCCTTCCTCCTTCTCCACGTCCTCCATTGTCACCTTCTCCTCCGCCTCCTCCTCATCCTCCTCCACGCCCTCCTCCTCGTCATCGTCCTCGTCCTTCTCGTCCTCCTCGTCCTCCTCCTCCTCTTCCTCGTCCTCCTCGCCCTCCTCGTCCTCCTCGCCCTCGTCCTCGTCCTCCTCTTCCTCATCCTCGTCCTCTTCCTCCTCCTCGTCCCCCGTCCTCCCTCCTCGTCCTCCTCCCTCGTCTTCGTCCTCCTCGTCCTCATCCTCCTTCCTCCTCCCTGCTCCCTCTTCCCACCTGTTTCCAGTTTCCAGTTTAAGGGGGCCTGGTCCGCGCGCGCCGCGGGCCCACGCCTCGAGCCTACTGTAAGGGCTCGACTCCTGCACGCCCGGCGGCTCCTTCTCGGAGCATCGCAATCTCTCCTGAGGGCCAGGCAAGCAACCCGTGGGGCAGCTGGCACGAAGTAAATCTACGGACGGCCTTGCATCCTGCGAGGGTGGCTGGCAAGCACTCTGCTCGAAGCTTCTTGCTCCGATGAGCCGACCACCCCCCGCATCTCAACCAACACGTCACCCCTCGGTAGGCACGGAGGTGGGGACGGTGGGATTCATGGGTGTTAAAAAACTCCAGGATGGGGGCAGCAGGGTAGATTAACCCAGCGAGCTTCGCCAACAACCCCAACCCGATCACACCGCACACATTGGATTATGTTACCACGCCGCTCAATCGAATGTGGGCTCAGTTGAGCCTCCCGAAGCCTACGAACTATAGCATTGTGGGGGGCCTTTAAGGCCCCCAAGTTGAGCCCATGGGCCCAAGCCAGGGATTGAATTACTGCTAGGCGTTTTACTACAAGGCTCATTTCATCATCTTGGTTCAGAACATGTTCGAGTATCTCTTCAGGAAGAAGTTCATAGAAGGCTGCGCCCCGTTTAGCAACCGCATCAGCAACATGGTTGGCAACGTACGATACGGGGTATGCCACGCCAGTCTCAAGATCTTCCAGAGATGCATGGGCCTTTACCTTGTCAAGGGTGAAGGGGTGGGTCCGCTCCGAGAGAACCTTCCAGCACACACTCCAGAGGTCAGTATTGAATATGTGGCGCCATTGTGCCCCATGTCTATACCCTCGGACAACGCATATACGATCCGTCATTAGATGGAGAGGCCCTGCAATCGGAAGGCGTTGATGGCGGCGATGAGCTCCCCTCGGTTGATGGTCTGATTGCCTGGATGGCTGATGGCGGCATATTGAAACCCCCCCAGGATGAAGGGCATGCTCATCTGCCTGATGATCGTAAGAATTTCACGGATCATCTCCTTATTCAGGCCAGCGTAGCCGATGGAGTCCCAGAAGTAGGCGCCCAGAACGAGGATGTCGACCCCTTGAAGACGTAGGATGCAGCTGGTCCACTGTGAACCCGAGACAACAGGAACTGGTCGTCCTCGGGCTCCGATGAGTCTAGAATGCGCATGGTATCGTGCTTGCGCTCCAATCAAAACTCCCCCGCGAGTACCGCCTCCAGGAGATTGCAGCGCTGGGCACACATATGACTTCGAAGAACGTTTCTCCCACTTCTTCCGAAGCGCAGACAAGTCACCACCTGACTTGTGAACTTCAGCGACGATGAAGAGGTCAGCATCGTGGGACTTCTCAAAGAAGAAATCCTCAGCCTTTTTCCCCTAGGTAGTGAAACTGGCGAGGTAGATCTGGATGCTACCCCGATGTCGGCTGGCCAGGAGGTTGTGCCACCGCTGCTGCTGGCTGGCCAACTGCTCGATCAGCTGCTCCGTTGGCTGCATGTTGAATGTCAGCGGGCTGCCGAGGTCCACCAGGAGCGAAAACCTGCGGAGCACCCGGTTGTGGTGCCTAGGCTGGGGAGGCGCCTGGGGCTGCACGCCTTGCCCGCTTGTTAGCTGGCTGCTCGACCTTGTCCAGGAACCTCTGGAACTTGGGCTTGCCCTGGACGAGGCCCTTGAATTCACCGATGTCCTCCGCCGTGAGGTCGCCGATGTCGCTCCCATCGGAGACGTCGGACATGCCGTCATCATCTGGCTCCTTATGTGCCTGCACGGCCGCGGCGTAGGTCTCGGCCAGCGGTGGCCGCTTGGGCCATGGCCTTGACCAGGGCCTCATTTGCTTGGTTCTGCGCTGCCCGTGCATCCTCAAGCTGGGCCTGAAGAGCTGGGACACGCTGCTGTGCTTCATCGGCATGCTTGGCTGCCCTCTCGACCGCCGTCTGCCGAAGCTGGAAGATCGCCGACAAGTCTTTTGCCGCCGGCTGGGGTGCCACTGCTGCTGCTGCTGTCTTGGCACCCTCCGTAGCTGATGGTGGTAGAACATGCCCATACTTGGCGAACAGTTCAAAGAGCTGCTCGAGGGTAAACTGCTGCTGTGGTTGACTGCCTTCCCCACTAGGAGAACAAAGAAGCTGGCCGCAAAGACAAAGCGGATCCTTCTTGAGGCGGTCCTGCCACTTCCACTTGCCACATGCATCACAAACAACATAGCTGCGTTCCTTGTTGCCCTTGGCGCGCTTGGGCTGCTGCCGGGACTCCCACTGCCAGTTGCGCCACCCGCCTGGCAAGGCAGAGACCTGGAGTGCGGCGCGTGCGTGCTGAAAGGCCGCTCCGACCGCGAAGCCCTCGAGCCTCGCCTTTCGACTGCAGCAGGTTCGAGCACCAAGACGCAAGTGTTCGAACTTGAGCCAAAATGGTTACGGCTCCCTCTTCCCACCTTCCCTCCTCCCTCTTCCCTCCTCCCACCTTCCCTTCTCCCTTCTCCTCCCTCCTCCCTCATCCTCGTCCATTCCTTCACCACGTCCTTCTCCCTCCCTGCCTTCTTCACTCCCTCCATCCTTCCTCCTCCTGTTTGACTCCTCATTTCAACCAAATCAAAAGCAGCCTGGCCTGGAGTCACAGCACCGCTGTGCGACACAGTATGAAGACCTTCGGGCTCGCTGGGCATCTGCCCGAATAGAGCACCCAACGCAGAATCGAATATCCGACGCAGCAGCAGAGCACCTACCAGGGTTTCGCGAACCAGCGGCGCGGCCGTTGCAAAAGTTGTTTTTAAGTCACAGTCGCGAAATAGCTCAGCCAACTGTGTAGCCAGCTCACCTCGCTGCTCCCCCGGCCCTCCTCCTCCCCCCCATGCCCCGCCAGGCCTCGCAGGGGCAACGCCGCCTGCATGCTCAGGCGAGGCTTGCGGTTGCGACTGAGAACGTTGAAGGGGCCCGGCTGCGTGTCTCCACGTCATCACTCAGGAACAAACGCTTGGCACATTCCTCTGTAGGGGCGATTACGTCGTCGTGGTCGTCTTCGCCAAGTAGACCTCCGACGGCAAATCCTGACCGCTCCAAATGCTTCACGTATATATTCAAATACGCGAGGCCACTGCCCGTGCGTCCATGAACGACTTTGAGCCCGACCTTGCCAAAAGTGACCCATCCCAGAGTCTCGACGTCACTTTGAGATCCACCACAGTGCCCCATGCACGTTGAGGCGTGGAAGAATGACAAGGGCTGTCTGGCAGAGCTCCTGCAATCTTCTAAAGGACCCTCCACCCCTCGAGCAGCGCCCAACCGCATGCACCACCCCTCCTCCCAGAGGTCCCAGGGCGGCCATGGCGCCTACCTGGGGTTTTCCAAGGCTTCCAAGACGGACCAGACGGCCACCAAGGCCGCCAAGACGGCCAAACATGCCCATAAGACGGCCCAAGGTGGCTCCAGAGATTCCAAGATGTTTCCATGACGACCCAAGACGGCGTCAAGATAGTTCAGAGAGGCCCCACGCTCAAGAGGGCTCCAAGAGGAGCCTCCAGAAAACCCCCAAAGGCACAACCCCTTGGTTGCCCTTAGGTGATATTTGGATTCTCACGTTCGGGGCTTCCGCCAACTTGATACAGCCCAGGGGGCCTCCAAGATCGCCTCAAATAGGCCCAAAGGAGCTCCAACATTAGCCGCAAAGCGTCGAAAACGACATCAAGAAGACCCACGAGGGCCCCCGTAGGGACCCAAACAGCCCCAAGAGACCCTCCAGACGGCCAAGAGGGCCCCAAGACGGCCCAAGAGAGCCCCAAGACTGCACAAGAGGGCCGAACACAGCCCAAAAGGGCTCCAAGGGGCCCTCAAGACTGCCCCGCAGGAGCCCCAGACAGCCCTAAGACGGCTCAGTTGAGCTCAGTGAACCCTAAGGCGCCACATGTGACGGCCTGCTTCCTTCTCCTCCTCATCCTCCTTTCCATCGTCACCGTCGTCGTCGCCGTCGCAATCATCATCAACACCACCACCATCATCACTACGCCAGTCGCCACCCAAGGTGCTGGGCTGGCACGGTGGCGGGACTTGCCATGGCCAGGTGGATACGCTGTAGTGATGCCTTCCAACTTGTTGTGCCTCCGCCCAAGACCCGGTGACGTTCAGTTCTTGAAAGTATATATCCGCGCATTGTCCACCTAGCCGTCGCGCGTCGGCCTGCACGCGAAGCAGTGCGGCGTCAGCGCTCACACCACGAGGGATGTTGATCAGAACATGCACGCCGGGCTTCATCAAATCGAACCGCTCACCATAAATGTTCTGCAGGTGGGGATCGCCAACGGCAGAAGCTCCAGGGCTGGCAGTCGGACTGGCCGTAGGGCTGGCTGTCGGGCTTGCCGTTGGGCTGGCCGTCGGGCTGGCCGTGGGGCTGGCTGTTGGGCTGGCCGTCGGGCTGGCCGTGGGACTGGCCGTCGGGCTGGCCGTGGGACTGGCCGTTGGGCTGGCAGTCGGGCTGGCCGTGGGGCTGGCCGTGGGGCTGGCCGTTGGGCTGGCAGTCGGACTGGCCGTTGGGCTGGCCGTGGGGCTGGACGTGGGGCTGGCCGTGGATGTGTCGGCGCATTCGTAGGAGCTACACAGCTTGAACGTGTTCCCGCTGATTGTATTCGACGACAAACCAGTGCAATACGAATCTCCGCAGCCGATAATGTGAGACGACGTGAAAACACTGGATTGCATACCGTAGTAATACACCTCGTCACCTAAATAAATCGGAGTACCATCGCTGACAGCTGAACCACTGGATAACTTGGCTTTCTGCCGGGGGGGCTGCTCTAGAGGCAACGCCCCAGCGCCGATCCCCATCTACGCAACCACTGTTAAAGTGTATGCCCTAGCGGCGGTGCGAATCATGCCCCCGCGAGTAACTCAAACACGAACGAGGAGGCCATATTATATAGAAAAGCAAAGCAACTCTTCTGATAAGTGGAGGAGATGGCTGAAGGGATTGACAAGACAAATCAAGGATTATACCACGTTGGAGGGGCGGATTGGGGGGCGGCGAAGATGGTAGCGAAGGGATGTACGGATGAGGAAAACGAAAACAAACGAAACGATTCACCGCTAAACAAGGGCAGAGCCGCCCCCCTATTTGCACTCTGCGTCGTCATCATCCTTCTCTGCTCCTCCCCGCCACACGCCGTTCCCATCACCTCTCCAACGCCTTCGCTACCATCCGTGAAACCCTTGGTCTGCGCGGCGGGCACGGACGATGGCCTCCAAAGGTAAACGATCGCCGACGCAGCAGTCACAAACACAAGTATGGAATCAATGTATCTCCACCGCATCGTCGCCTCGGCTTGCTCGCGCCACCAGAGGGTTGCCCCGAGGCGCCGACCGACTCTGGGACATTTACCAAACGGCCGTGCTAGATTATTCAATGGCGAACTGGATGCGGTGATGCCATCAACCTGCGCTGCCCGAGCGCGGCTCGAGCCCCCCAAGATGACAACGGACCCGCGAATGGTCAAGCTGCAATGCATGTCGGCCCTGACGCGGCCAAGAGGGCCCATTCACAACATTTTGGCCCACAACATCTTTGGCGCGCCTCGATCGCAGTCCGACGCGCCACACCAAGCGGGGCCGATGGTGACAACATGGGAGGCCGTTCGTGATGAGGTCCCCGATCAACAAGGACATCGAGGACAAACGATCCACATCAACCAGTGTGCCGTCTGATCGTTCGGGTGCGGACGAGCATTTGCAAATCGCACCGCATGGCACGCGGGTATAACATGCGCAAACACACCACGGAAAATAAGCCGATGGCACCCTGGGGAAATTCGAAGGCAGCAAAAGCAGCCAGTCTGGCAGCCAAATTCCACCCTCACGCCCATGCGCCGTCGAAAACCCGAATCCGTCACTGAGGGGGGGGGGCCCAAATGCCACCATGAGCGCCCGAACATGCTTCAAACGGGGTTCTAGACAGAAACATCGACGGACAACGGAAATTGCAACTCGCTGCGAATCCAAACCCTCAGGGCGCAGGTGGCGCATCACATTAATATTCATCATTCCCCTCTTATTTTGCGGGCAGGGGTAAGCCCCTCCCCTTGCCCCCACCATTGGGCCCGAATGGGGGTAAGGAGGGGGGTGGCGCGGACCGTCGAAGTGGCCACGGTATGTCTGGATGCTTCTAACAAGGCCTCAGAGAGACCAAGGTGAACTTCACGATTGCTCAAGATAGCGGAGGATGGCCCATGATGGCCCCAACGATACCGCAAAAAACCCAATACCGTTCCAAGATGGCCCCAAGCAGCCGAGGAGCCCCATCCAAGGAGGCTTGCCAGACGCCAGCATCTTTCACAACACAAAATAACATCAATGGTTCTGTTGTCTCGCATTGTCTTTTTTATGGCCCCCCGAAGCCTCAAGGTAGCTCAAAGAGGCACAGGAGAGCACCAACGCAGCCCCAAGGGTGGCACAAGCGATTCAATTGCCCAAGACTTGAGCTCCCAAACAATGGCCTCAAAACCACTTTCGGCATTCTTGAAATGCAGCACTAATCATCCCCATCCTTACATTATTTGATCAAGTTCCTCCGACATTGCTCCCAAGACGGCCCGAAAGGCCCACAGGATTTCCCCTGCAGGGCCCCGCGCGCGCCCAGGAACCCTCCAAGAGGCGCCCAGGAAACTTCAAAGAGACAAGCAAGATACCCCATTAAGCTCCTCCGAAACACCCAGCGCGTCCCAAGACGCTCTGGAAGCCGCCAAGAGACTCCATGACGTTCAAATGTGCTCCCAGGGAAACTCCCACGGACCGTCCAAAGAAAAATCGGGAGGCATCCAAACCTCTTGCCACTCTGTTTGCCAATGGCCTCCTCCTCCTCCTCCTCCTCCTCCTCCTTCGAGACATCCGCCTATTGGCTCTCCTCCCTCCTTCCCCCTCCCCCTCCTGCACGTCGCCTCCTGGTCGTATTTCCCCCCGTCGTCCTCCGCAACATCATCCTCCAAGTCATATGCCAACCATGTTTTGGACAAGACGCATTTCTCGGCCCTATGCATTTCCGCGCATTCTTGCTACAACGATTGAGGCAAATCGTCCGGACAACATTGCTGGAAGGGCTGGTGGGGACACGCGAAATGTCGAACCAAAATGCGGCCCCTAACTAACATGTTTTGGTGCTTCGCAGAATGCCATTGATAATCTAGCGGCTCCCAAGCGGCCCAAGACGGCCCCGCCAAAATCAGAACACGACTCGATCGCCGAAGAAGGCGCGCGACCGCCAACCCTCAATTCCCAAACAACCCTGGGTGTGCCCAGAAACTTGCCTGCACGGCCCCTGCATGGTTATACAGCGCCCCGGTGGGGAAACTCTGATGCTCGACATGGCATCGAATGCCTCGGAAGTTCCCAGAGCGCCACCAAGCCTCCGCTCAAATCCCACCAGCCCTCTGGGCGCAGGTGGTTTGGGGAGTTTCCTCTTCCACCCCTCCTTCTCCCCCTTCGGGAAGGGGTTTACCTCTCCCCCTACCCCCTCCCCTGGACCTGGACAAGGGGGGCCGCTGGTCGGCAGAGCGTCCAAGATGGCCTCGGCGAGGAAGCCAAAATCATTGATTTTACAAAGGTTTTGGCCTCATTTTGGCCTCCTGGGGGGGCGACGCTAATTCCCACCCACCCCTTCTTTGATAGATCTCCTCCAAGATGGCCCAAAAAAACGCCCAGGAGGCCCCAAGAGGTCCCAAGATGGCCCCAATATGGCCCCAAGAGACCCCCAAGAGGCCCCAAGAGACCCCCAAGGAGGCCCCAAGAGGCTCCCCGAGATACGCAAGAGGCCCCCAGGACTGCCAAGAGACCCCAAAGACGGCCCAAGAGTCCCCCAAGCTCGCCATTGTCCTCCTCCTCCTCCTGTTTTTCTTCCTCCTCCCTCCTCCCCCTCCCTCTCCTCCTCCTCCTCCTCCTTTTCCTTCTCCTCCTTCTCGTCCTCCACGTCCTCGCCCTCCTCCATCTCCTCCTCCTCATCTTCCGTCTCCTCCTCCTCTTCCCCCTCCTCCTCCTGCTCCTCCTCCTGCTCCTCCTCTTCCTCCTCCTACTCCGACGACGACGACTCCTCCTACATCCTTCCCCTCTCGGGGCATATGGCGGCTGAACCCGCCCTTTGTTCTTTTGCATGCTCCCCCGCTTCCCTCATCACCTCCACTCCCCTGAGGCTCATTTCTGGACGGGCTGGTGGGGATACGCGAAGCGTTCAGACTTCGTAATATCTCCAAGGCGAAGCCGCAACACATCTAGGATGTGGCCGGTTCCAAGATTCACTCAATGCAGACCGCAGGGACCATATAACCAACGAATCTTGCGGCGGCGGCGCGCCACAAGCCAGCATGGATGTTTGTAGAAGGCCCAACATGTGTTAACACAGTTTCTGTTGAGTTCGTAGTACAGACGCTCTGCCTCCACGACGACTCGGAACCGTCTCTGCGGCGGGGGTTCTCGCAGGCGGCCCGGGGAATTGGTTGGAGGGCGGATGTTTTACGAAAAGGCTAGCTCTTATGCAATTCCATCGCCTGCGTCGCATCCTATCATTGTTCAGGTTTGACTGGCGCCAAGGGGGCTGCCGATGACTTCGCAGCGGCAGCCTTGCCTGTGGCTTTGGACACTCGCTCCAACTCAGTCCTCAAAGCATTGGGGACGTCCAGGTTTGGGCGGGCTAAGAACTTGATGGATTCTGCGACCTGCGCAGCGCCAGCTTTCTGCGTGAGAATGGTGGCCCCAGCTACCGTCGACAGGCATTTCTTCACAGCTTTGTAGACGACGTCGATGAAGTCCATGTCGTCTTTGTGCTTGGGGTCCTCCTTCGGGTCCTGCAGGTTCAGCTGCGCCTGCATGCTCCCAATGCGCGCGATCGCATTGAACAAATCAAGCATCTCTTTTCCGAGGCTGTCGACCTTGGCATTGTTGACGAGATTTTTGCGGACCAATGGCATCACTACCTTGGCGTCGTTGCAGAAATGATCGTATTTTGGGACGTGCTTCTCGACCAACTTGGCAAAAGTAACGACCTCGGCAATCAAAGCTCCGAACGCGAGGGCCCTGAGCTCTTGAATGAGGGCACGTGCGGCTGAAAACCATTGCTCCGTGCCTGTGAGACCCCAAATCCACGGCACTGGCACGCGAAGCCCTGCCTCCAACACCGAGGGGTTCTGCTCCATGAATGCCAAGGCCTCGGACGAACAACGATCAATTGCTTCGAATGCAGCAACAATGTCCGGACGGATCGTTTGATGCGGCCCTATCATGTCGGAGGTCTGCGTGATCTCGTCGGCGACGTAGATGATGCCAGAGGCGACGCAGTGCATGGCTTGGAGCAAGCAGAGCACGCACATGACCTCGTTCTTTGGCACGTCTGCCACATCCACCTGCGAGAAGGAAGTGGTGACGTTCACGAGGTCGGCATTCGTCAAAGTCGCCAGGTCCTTGGCCACAGACAACCCTTTCGAGCTGTCGAGCAATTCGAAATGTACTTCCTGGCAGTGGAACGCCTTGCGGGAAGCCTTCTGGCTCTCTGGCATCTTGGACACGTCGAGGAAGGCGTCCCGAGCAGACGCGACGGAGAGGCTCTTGAAGCACGTCTGGGGGGTCACTGCCTTGAAACCTGCGCACTCGCAAGACTTGCCGAGAGAGTCAATCGCCGCGGAGACCACGTTCTGCATGACCCCGCTGACCCACAACACAGGCCGACAGGCACCGACGAATTGTGGCAGCTTCGCCACCGCACCGAGGACAGGGTGAAGTTCGCCTGGGGAGCTGCCATCGTCCATTGTCGTTTCGATGCAGCACTCGGCCTCCTTGTCCACCTCCAGGCCTGGCATAGAGAAAGCGAACCCGCCAGAGTTCTGCAGCGGCGCAGCGTGTTTCAGAGCACGGATGCACAGACCGATGAAGGAGTTGCCACCATTGCGCCGCCAATCCTCCATCAAACGCCCAGGCTCCTGGGCGACGTCGCCAACTGGAGCTTTGAAGGCTCCTAGGGCGGAGATGGCGCCGACCATGTCGGTCAAGTGGCCTCGCATATCAGAGTTCCCCATGCTCTGCGCAATGACCTGCTCGATGAGCCTCGGCGGATGCGGGCGCGTCAACGCCACGTCCAATTCGAACGCGCTTGCCTTCCCTTCGAACCCCCCACGCCCAGTCAGTATCTACCCCGGCCCTCGCCATGGTCCCCGGGCAACCACGCATTTGCCCAACTCCCGCCCTCCCATCCTACTCCCAAGCTCCTCTTCGTTTGGTGTCCTGGCCCCCTACCAGACGGCGCCCGCCTGTCTCCCCTGGACCCCCTGCCCCGAAGGGAATGCGAGCGCGAACGAATCGCAAGCGGCGTTGACCTCCCAAGGAACGAGCCGTCCACCGTCCCCTCGAACGCGGCCGCGGCGTTGCGCAGCACTGTGAAAAACGTGGTCGCCTCGGTCGCCCAGGCGCTTTCCCCCGTGAACAAGAAACCGCCCCTGAGAGACCCCAGCACCGCGGGCAGCCCTGCACTTGATCCGACGCCGTGTCTGAGCACGGGACGGGCGCATCCCCGAGTCCTTTCCCGCATCTTCCCCGCCTCAACCATCGTTTCTCCAAGGCCTCCTCGGGGGCCAGGCCCCGCCTCAAGTTTGCCGCGGCCTCTCGCGTCTGACCCTGGACGGGGGAACTTAGCCTGGGAAGCGCATGTGGTACACACCACAGCCTTAGGCGGAACTCCCTATGGGGCCACGAAGCGCTGCACTGGGCGGGGGAGACGCATGTGGCACACGCCACTGGGGCCTTAGGTGGCCTTCTTTATGGGGCCACGAAACGCTGCACTTGGCGGGGGAAACGCATGCATGTGGCACGCGCCGCTGGGGCCTTAGGTGGGCCTCCCTATGGGGCCACGAAGCGTTCTACTGGGTGGGGTGGGGGGCGCATGTGGTGCACACCACAGGGGCCTTAGGTGGACCTCCCTATGGGGCCACGAAGCGCTGCGCTGGGTGGGGGAGACACATGTGGTACACACCACTGGGGCATTAGGTAAACCTCACTATTGGGCCACGAGGCGCCGCGCTGGGCATGGCGGGCGCACGCGGCACACCCCACTGGGGGCGGGGGAGGAGGGGGGGGAGGGGAGAAAGGAGGAGGAGGAGGAGGAGGAGGAGGAGGAGGAGGAGGAAACGTGGGGACCGTCTCTTCAAAACGAGGACCCAACACCACAGGGTGGTTGGGACAAAAACAAGCCCGATAGGCCTCTGGGGGGCTTCCAGGAGGCCCCCGAAAATATCCCAGAGGGCCCCGGATCGCCGCGCGATCGGCCTGAGAGAGCCCGAAGCGGCCCGCGATGCCGCCACGGCGCCCCGAGGCCACCAAGAGCGCATAACATAATCCAAACAAGCCATCGCCGATAAAGTTCACCTGAGGTCAATGGACATTACCATCCTCGCCGCGCGTCGCCCTGGCGGGCCAGCGTGACCCGACCCAAAGACCGCGCCTCAGACGGCCGTTGACCGCCAAGACAAAACCAACGACAACCCAAAAAGAGCACCAACAGGGGTCGATGAAAACCTCCAGCAGGCGCAAATTTTCCCCACGATGGCCCCGATAGTGATCCGGCAACGGGGGCGGCGCACTGACCGTTCGAGCGCCGCGCCCCCAAGAAGCCTCTACGGGAGGCAAGCAGATTCCAAGAACGCCAAACTAAGCTTCAAGAAGCCACAAGCAGTCCCGAACTGGAACGCAGCATCCCCGCGCAACCGCAGGGAAGCCTCAGCTCTGCGCCCAAGAGATCCTCGGGGCACGCCCCGATAGATCTCGAAGGACGCGCGAGAGCATTATGCCCCCGACCCAGACGTGGGGGCGGTTGAGCCGAAGGCTATGAGATAACGTCTTCCAGTCTTCAGTCGGATCGTACGTGGTCAGAGCCACCGCCATGTCACCCTGCGACGTCCACAGCGGCATCAATGGCTCGAGATAGAGCTCCATGTAACTGCACAACACGATGTCGATACCAACAATCGAACGCAACATTGTTTGAAAGAACTCATTGATCGCCCCCCCCTGCTCCTCGAGGGATACCTTGGACCACATAGCCCTGGCGTCGACGACCATGTGCAACGCGTCGGAGAAAACTTTGAACGTCACTGTGTCGCTGCGCACGGGGAGCTGCCCGTTCACGATCTTGATGGCGAGCTCGGCTGGATCCCACTGGAACCTGAACGCGCATGGGTCTTCAAAGGATGCTGTCGCGTCCTTCAGGTGGTCGTCCCCAATGCTGTCGTTCACGCTGGCCTGCGTCAGCGAATCAGCGCTGCTAAGCAGTTCTAACCCCACTGGGTGCTTCTCCAGAGTGCGCCACAAGAGTACGCATCGAGGTGCCTTCAAGGCTTCCTTGGCCGAAGACGCGTCCTTTGCCCTGACCTGCTCCGGGCACGTGAAGCTCTGGCATAAGGTCCCGAGGTGCTCGACGTCCTGGATGGCGCCCGCAAGCGCGCTCGAAGAACGCCATGCCCGAAGCGCCTCAGTTAAGGCACCGACATCCTTGTGAAGAACGGGGATCGCGCTGTCCATGTCCTCCACGGTTATCTTCTCAATGTCAATGGAGATTTTTGGAAAACGATGGTGCGCATCCAGCTCTCCGCAACTGCCGCGCCTCCGTCAAGACCAGCAACTTGGAGCATGGCCCCATCGGCCGCCTCGTCCGCAATGCCCATCAAGCGCTCGTGGAGTGCTGCGCCCTGCGGGGCGTGGAATCGCACCTGCAAGTGGAAGAGGACAAACGACAGATGAAGCACGACCCCCTCCGATTTCAAGAATTCGACGAGCTTGCCCATGAACGGCTCGAGGGCGATGAGCTTGTCGATCTTGTTCGGGTTCCTGCCGAACTCTTTGTATTTTTTCGCAATGGTCTTGCTGTAGCCCAGGGCAGAACACCAAGATGATACTTTCTCCAACACGCCCTCTTCGCCCGAGATGCTCACCTCGGCCTGCAACGACGTCAATTTGTTCAGCGGTGATGTGAACGTTGATTCTTTCAGGGATTTCCACTGTTCCGAACTGAAGTTGTCGAAGATATCACGGATCATGCTGAGCTGCTTGTCCACTTTCTGTTGCGTGGGGCTCGTGGCTGGCGACGCGACGATCAATGTCGACATCACGTGGGCCTTCTGAGGCGTGGTGTTGCTTCCATCTGCGCCACAAGCCGTGCTCACCAAAGTGATGTCTTCCTCGTTGCAAGTGCGCATGGTAGCTTTGACTCGGGCCCCCATCCACGACCCATCTTCTGGGCGAGCTACCACCGCGTCAGACGAGGAACCAAGCGCCGGTGAATTCGGAACCAAGTAGCCGATCTCACATTTCTTGTCGATCCGCAACTGAATCAAGCGACTGGCCTCCAGACCATCAGTGGAAGCAATCTCGCTGAGCTTCTGGACAACGAAATCGCCGAACGGCATCCCCAACATGCGAAGGACAAACCTCATGGTAGATACGCGCCCAGAAAGCATGGCTTCGGTAATCCGTTCATGGCCCTCTTTCCGAAGGGACACGTAGCAAGCGAACTTGAACTCGAAATCCTCTTGGTGCTCCGCCCTCTGCAGCCTGACGTGGAACATGACCAGCGTGACCACCTTCGAGTACTCCAGGCGCCACAAGTTGAAACAGTCCTTGCACCAACTCCCCCGACCATCGGGAAGGCCCCAATGGAGAGGCTCAAGGGTTACGTAACATACGCCATGCAAGCGGCTCCTCCGGCACCCATTGCAAATCTTGTCGCCTTCGCCAGCAGTGGTCTCCAGCTTGACAGTACGGGCGGTGCAGGCAGAAGTTGCACCGGGCGACGCGGGCACGATGCCATCCTGCCCCTTGTTTTCTGCGCCATGCTCTGTCTTCACTGCCACCAACTGACCAGGCGCAGCGCCCCCTGTGCGCTGGCGCTTCGCTTGCCGAGCGAACTCAGGAGACGCCGTCGGTGGCGGCGGTGGTAAGTCGGCACTGTTGGCGCCGGAAGCGCTCACAGCGTCTAGGAAACTGAGTGCATCCAATGCCTCGGACATGCCTGTCGAACTCTCCCCAGCCCAACGACTGAAAAGGCACAAAACGTTCAAGTGATAACTACGCGTAGTTCCCACAAGCCTCAGAAAAGGCTCGCACTCGAGTCAAAAATGGTGGCGAGTGGACTGGGGTGGCGCGGAAGGATAGGGGCGGGGCTCTTTGCGGGCTCTCTTGGAACTTTCCCTTTGGGGAAGGAGGAGGGGGCTTTGGAAAGAGCGCCACAATATGGTGACGTTAACCCGGCCGGGCAACGAGAGGAGAAGGAGGAGGAGGGGGGAGGGCCCCGAAGAGTCCCACGATGGCAGGGGCTCGCCTGGCCAGCACCCGCAGCCTGGCGGCTATGGCTGCTCGAAGACGGCGGCAGCTCCTGTGACCTCCAGCCCTGCAGTGGTGGCGGTCACAAATACTTGGCTGCGCTTTGGGGGGTGGTTGGTAAAGACTTCGGCGCGCCCCTCAGTGATGCATTATGCGGGAACCTCTTGGTCCAGACCTCCCGGTAAGCACTTGGCCCAGACCTCCCGCCGAGCTTCATCACTCTGGCCCCCCCAAAACACATAACCTGTGTGCTAGCTGCTAGCTCCCCAGAGGTCCTTTTTTTGTCCAACCATCCTGTGGTGTTGGGTCCTCGTTTTGAAGAGACGGCGCCCCGCGTTCCTCACCTCCTCCTCCTCCCCCCCCTCCCTCCTCCCATCATCATCATCATCATCATCATCATCATCATCATCATCATCATCATCATCATCATCATCATCATCATCATCATCATCATCATCATCATCATCATCATCATCATCATCATCATCATCATCGATTTCGGCACACCCCTCACACGTTTCGTGGCCCCATAGGGAGCTCCACCGAAGGCCCCCACAGGGCACACCCCTCACAGCATCACCGAAGGCCCCAGTGGCAGGGTCCGCATGCCTCCCCACCACCCATTTCGGCACACCCCTCACACGTTTCGTGGCCCCATAGGGAGCTCCACCGAAGGCCCCAGTGGCAGGGTTCGCATGCCTCCCCACCACCCATTTCGGCACACCCCTCACACGTTTCGTGGCCCCATAGGGAGCTCCACCGAAGGCCCCAGTGGCAGGGTCCGCATGCCTCCCCACCACCCATTTCGGCACACCCCTCACACGTTTCGTGGCCCCATAGGGAGCTCCACCGAAGGCCCCAGTGGCAGGGTCCGCATGCCTCCCCACCACCCATTTCGGCACACCCCTCACACGTTTCGTGGCCCCATAGGGAGCTCCACCGAAGGCCCCAGTGGCAGGGTCCGCATGCCTCCCCACCACCCATTTCGGCACACCCCTCACACGTTTCGTGGCCCCATAAGGAGCTCCACCGAAGGCCCCAGTGGCAACGCTCGCATGCCGCCCCCACACCCATTTCGGCACACCCCTCAAACGGTTCGTGGCCCCATAGGGAGATCCACCGAAGACGGTACTCACACCAGCATTACTCACAACTGCATATGGTTGGGTCCTTCGCCAGGCTAGTTTTTTTTTAGAGTGCACGTTGCTTGGACTTTCCGGTCGGTCGGCCCCCCGGCCGGCGACCGCGTAGATTGGACTGACACAGAGAAGCGAGCTTAGAGCATGGAGGCGGGGGAGCGCCTGGGAGGCTGAATAGCTCCCCAGAGGTCTGGACCCTTTTCCGCGGGGCCAGCTTTGCATCCCGATCGATCGGTACGCCCGAAAATTGACGCATGGGCCGGTACCGAACAAAATCGGATCCGTGCGCAAGCACAAAGATGATAAGTCCTTCCTGCGCTGTTTGCCCGGCGCTTATGAGGACGCCCTCGGGGTTCCCACAGCTTGCGTCGAAGTCTGGACGGGCCTCTGGTGTGATCCATGTCCCGGAGAGGCTGTTCAGGCGAGGTAGAATGACAGCCCGCCCGGGCTACACTTCGTTGCGATGCAATTCGTACGCGCTGTACGGAACGGCAGAGCGGCGGGGAAGCTGCACTCTTCACACTGGGCGGGTCGGCGGGCAACAAAGTCAAACCCCCCCGCACTCCCGAAGGGGCAGCAGGGAGGGGCGCAGCGACTGATGTCCGTCGCCTTTTAGCTCGAGGCCCAAAGGGCCAAAGAGGATACATCGACAATGATCGACAATGCCCGTTGGTCTGTGGTCAAAAGCTGTTTGACTAGAGACCAAGTGGGACATCCAATTGTGGCCTCGGGCCTCTCTCAGGGACCCTCTCTGTGCATTATTGGGCCCTTTTGAGGGCCTCAACGCAGACCCAGCAGGGCACCAAGAGGGTTCTAAGAGAGCCCCAAGTCAGCCCCAAGACAGACTCTGTTGGTCTCTAGTCAAAAAGTCTTTGACTATAGACCAAGTAAGACATCCAACTGTGGCCTTGGGCCTGTGCGAGGGACCCTCTCTGGGCCATCTTGGGCCATTTGGGGGCCCTCTTGGAGCCGTCTTGGCGCTCTCTGTGCCCCTGCCCCCACCCCCGGCAAGGCCGAGACATTGGGTGCGACTGTCGTGAAGCACTCTGCCATCGTGGGTTCTTCTTGGGCCCCCTTCTTAAACTCAGGGCGCCCCCTTTCGGAAGCTATCGAGCACTCTGGAGGTGGCCCATGAAGGTCTTTTGGAGCCTTTGAAGCTCCGCCGTTGCAGCGCGGCTTCGTTGAGAGAGAGGACCACAGACCACGTCCACGCGAAAGAGATGGAGCCGCTCACACACACACACACACATACAAATGATACAGATGTCTTGGCCCTCGCTGGCGACAGCACACTTTCTTGCGTCGACGTCGTCGTCGTCGTCGCTGACCCCCTTTCCATCGCCGTCGGCGGCAGCACCGAAAGAGACGTGAGTCATTCGGGCCCTCCCCCCGTCCCCGCGGGAAGGCGTTGCTCCAAACCCCCGAAGATATGCAACGGCCCCATTTAGGGCGTTGCCCTCGGGGGCCAGAGAATGCCCCTCCCAGGAAGACTGTCAAGGGGGCCGAACGGCTCGGCGGAGGCAGCGCTCGGGTTGGCCGACCCACTCGGCGACGGCACAAGCGAGACGGCGAATCGTTCGAACCAAACCACCTCCTCTTGGTTGACGTTTCTCCGGGCCACCAAGTCTCGGCACCGCCTCCAGTGGAGATAATTGCCCTCGGTGGCCCAGAAAATCCTTCGCCCGAGGAGCGGGTTGCGGAAAACGAACCACTCGGCGTCGGAAGCACCCAGAGAGTTGGGGTGTTGGGTCGTCTCCGCCCTCGTCCTGGGCAGGGCGTTTTCTGGGGACTCCAAAATCCCTGACGAAGCTGCAAGGACCATCGGGTGTAGCCCCAGGTCCACGCGACTCCGATGACTTCGGAGAGCCGAAAACCAAATGTAGATTGCAAGCATGGGCCCCCGTGGTCCAGGGGCGCGAAGTAGATCTACGTTGCGGACATGGGCCACGACCGCCTGTTGAGTAGACGGGCCCCGCTTCTACATTACACAAAGGGTTGTGTAGATCCCAGGCACGCAGACGCTTCTGTGTTAGACAAATGATAAAGTAGATTCGCTGAAAACACACCACGGGCTTCTACATTACACACAAGCTAGTGTAGACAGCGCAAGAATATCTACTTAAGCATCAAGGCGGGAGGGCGGACGAGGGCGGATCTACATATATACCCGCCCCCGACGAGCAACTGCAAGCCTGTTGTAAATGGACAAAGCCTCTGGCACAGATGGTTGGACGGCTCCCCCCACTTGGTTCGGACCGGGCACTCGTGTCTGGCAGGCGGTCCTAATCCAGTCGTGTCGGGCGAGCGGTCCTAACCCACTCGTGTCAGGCGGGCGGGCCTAATCAAATCTTGACGGGCGGGCGGTGCTAGCCCAGTCTTGTCGGGCGAGCGGTCCTAACCAATCTGTGTCTGGCGGGCGGTCCTAACCATGTCGTGTCGGGCGAGCGGTCCCACCCGCACCCTTACCTCCACCCCTACCCCTACCCCATACCCCATAGCCCTATCCATATCCCTACCCCTAACCCTATCCCCACCCCCACTCCACCCCTACCCCTTACCCCTAACCGTACCCCTATTCCTAACCCTACCCCAACCCGAACCCCACGGCGCCGTAAAACATTGTAAAGCGCAACGAGGTCGGCGCAGCACTTCGGAAGGCTACGACATGCTGCACAATGGCCCAAAGACGGCTCCGGAGGCCTCAAGACGGCTCCAGAGGGTCCCCAAACGGCGAACAGTAAATAAACAAATTGGTTCTGAGAGGGGACGGCCTTCTCTAGCAAGGTCTTGGGAGATCTTGGACAGGCCCGCGAGGCCCAAATTGTAAAACGCTTGTGGGCGTTCGTATGGCTTCAACGTCACGACCCGATCGCTCCCAAGAACGTCGACCGCTGCCCAAAAGAAGCGCCCTGCCATCGTGCCAAGACGGCCCAAGAACGCCCAAGTGGTACCCGAAGAGGCCTCCACGACGGCCAAAAAAAGAGCTCGGAACGACCAAGATATTTGGACAGCTCTGTCGTTCTCCCTACCCCGCCCCCCTCCAAGAACTCCAACCACCCCACCCTCCGGAGATCATGCGCATTCCCTGACCGACTGTTTCTGCTGACGTCGTTGCTTCAATGATCAGGGCAACTCGTCTAGGCATCGCGGCTGGCGGGGATACTTTACTTCTGATTCGCGGCCGGCAAGGAGAAGTCCAGAGGGCGGTGTGAGCTGGCGGGGATACGCAACGCGTCAATAGTGTGACACCGCCCTTTAGAGTGGGAGGGCGGGACATTTCGGAGACACGTGGTAGGCCATCTGGAGCTTCAACAAGGGGGGCTGGATTTCACCCTGTCGCCGACGAATGTGCAACACATTTTCGTGATTCCAACAAGGCTCTTATACAGCGTTGCATTTCAGCCAATGGCGCCGCCGGCCACCTTCGACGGTGGCATTCTACGAACCAGCGGGCATAGGAGCGCCTGCTCCCCCAGCATTGGCTTTCGGAAGCATGACAAGAGCTGCCTCTAAGTGGGAAGCCCGCGCGGCTGCTTTGACGGCCGCGG